ATAGTTTATCTGTTCTACACTGATTTATAACACCCTCTCTATTCACAGTGTCTACATATAAATAAATTTTTGGCTAGGACTGAATTGGTTTATTTGCAATCTGTTTGCCAATACCATGCTATTAAAATTCTGTATGTTTTTCTTTCTTCTTTTCCAATTTTTATACCTTTTGTTTTAATTTTGTCTTTTTTTGTGTTGGCTAGAACTGCAATACATTGTTGAAAAGAAGTGGTGACAGAAGCCCTCAAGGATGTTCCTGATTCCTAATATTTTATCTTAAAGGGAATACTTTTTACATCAAGTGTAATATTCACCACTAGGTTTCCCCCCCCCCACAAATACCTTTAATTGGGTTATTTTTTTCTCCTGTTCCTAGCTTGCTTAAACATGTGTAGAAAAATTATGAATGACTTCACATTTTTCATATGCTTTTTATTCACCTGCTAATGTTATTAAAATTTATTTACTCTGTAAATTTGGTATTTTTTGGTATGTCTGGTGTAATTACACTGATGGGTTATCTTGATGTCTAACCATTATTGCATCCTGGGACAAATACTTGTTGATGGTGAAGTTTTTAAAAATACACACACACACACACACACACACACACACACACACACACACACACACACACACACACACACACACACACACACACACACACACACACACACACACACACACACACACACACACACACACACACACACACACACACACACACACACACACACACATACACATAGCTAAAAATTTATAATTTTTAAATCTTTTGACATAAGGGGGGCTAGTCTATGATTTTTCTATATAGTCATTAGTGGTTTTTGAGGCTAATTTATTTATTTAGAAGTCTCAAATTTGAAGAAAAGTTGCAAGCACAGTGTAAAGAATTTTGTTCCCTGAACTATTTGAGTTCATTTACTTATGTTTCTTGAGTCGTTGATCTGCAAACAGTTCCTCTGCCTTTCCTTGACCTTCATGATCTTGACACGTGAAGAATACAGGCCTGTTTTTTTGTAGAACATTTCTCAGGATTTGTCTGCTGTTTCTTTATGATCAGATTTGCATTATGAATCTTTGGCAGGAATATCACAGAAGCAGTGCTGTTTTATTCTATTTGGATCATATCTAGTAGCACAAAATTTCAGTTTATCCTGTTATTTTGTAACTTTGATCTCTGGTTAAGGTGGTTTTCCGCCATGACTCTCCACTGTGAAGTTTTCTCCTTGATAATAAACAAGTAACTTGTGTGGCAATATTTTGAGACCTGGTAAATATTGTATTCCTCATCAGATTTTCAATTTATTTGTTTACCTATTTTTATCTGTATAAACCCATGGGTTGTAATCTTTTATTATTGTTATATATTTGGATATTCAAATTTTCCCTGATTTGGCCAATGGGAGGCCTTTAAAGCTGGCTTTTGTGGCTTTAGCATGGCCCCGTAAGTCTTTGAGTGCTTCCTTTCTTTCTGGCACAAAAATATCATTCAGCTTCATCTTGAACTTTCCCTGCCCCAGACATGAAATTAAACATTTCTCCAGGGAGCTCTGGTTCCTTTTGGTGGAGAATGGTATTTATAAACAAGGTTGTAAGGTTTGCTCATGCCTGCTGCAAATACCATGGCTTCCAGCCTTCTAGGTGACAAAATTAGGGACTATCTATCATCTACTGAAAACTAAGATTACATTGATACTGCCATTTGCAGTCCAACACGGTGTTTATTTTATTTTCTCCCTTTCTGTTTTGTAAATATCTTCTCAAACTGTGAGAAACTCAACTCCTATTATCTTTATAATATTTACTCGATCAATTCTGTAAATAACCAATCTGTTAATTTAGCTGCCACACCTTGCCACATGTGGATGCCGTTTGCATCACTGGGGCTCTGATGTCCCACATGACTGCCCGTCTGTGCGGACACCCTCCTCACAATGCTAGGGCTTCAGCACCCTACTCAGGCCCTTGTGCTCCACCTCACCTCACCCCAGGATACGTATCTGGCCACTTAATGGCTACTGCACTGAGCCAATCTTGCCACAAGTTTTATGAGTATTTTTAAGAAACTTGTTGTATTGATCTTTATTCTTTTTTTTTTTTAACCTTGTTTTCTTTCTGTTTTCCTTGGGTTTACTCAGTTGTTTCAGTGGTTCTTTTTCCTGTTTCTTGAAGATATATTTAGTCTATTGATTTTCACTTCCTAATTCACTCTTAGACAATATGTTTCCATCTATTTACAATTTCACTCATATTCCATATCTAATGTGTAGTATTATTTGTTATATTCAGTTCTAAAGGTTTTTAAATATCTGTTTGGATTTGTCTTTGGTCCATAATTTCAAATGAGCGATTTTTTTTTCAGATATTTGGTTTTGAAGTACTTTTATTTGTTGTTGATCTTTGATTTTTAAAAATTGCTTTGAATGAGATAATACTGTCCATATAAAATCAATTTGAAAATTTTTAATGTTTTCTTTGGCCTATTATATGGCCAATTTTTAATATGTTCTTATAAGTAAATTTTCTAGATGTATTTTCAGTGTGTTCACAGTAGGTTCGTTACTTAAAGCTTGTTGATTTGTGTTATTCAAATGCTACTTATTCTTTATTTTTTTTCTGTCTAATAAATCAAGTTTTGAACAATGGTAAAAATCTCATCATGTTGCTATAAAATTCTTTTTGTTTTTTTTTACTTATGTATTTTCAGGCTGTACTTGTAAAAACTAAACAGATTTAGCATTATCATATCTTCTTGGTGAATTCTTTCTTATATTCTCTTTATCTCTAATAATATTTTTAGTGTTATAGTCAATTTAGTATTATATTAACATATCTTCAACAGTTTCCTTCCTTTTTAAAACAGTATCCTACTAAATATGTGTTTCCATCTCTTTATTTTTTTAAGTTTTATTTTAGAAAATTTCAAATGTGTAAAAGAAGATGAGGTAACAAGTTTCAGTACATGGATAACCTTGTTTCATCTGTATCCCCACCTAGTCCACATTACTTTGTGTCCTTCACCTATACCAGATTACTTAGAAGTAAATCTCACGTATTATATAATTTCATCTGTAACTATTCTAGCATGTATCTCCGAAAGATAAGAATTGTCAAAATTAGTCAAATGATTTTTCTGTTTTTTGAGTTGATCATGTGCTTTTAATTTTTCCTTCAATGTATTATAAAAATGGTAAATATTTTGATATGTAAATCTTGCTACAATTTTTTAAAAACCCAGTAAACATGAAAAACATCTTATTGTCTCTGATCCCCTTTGATATCCCATCATCACCTATGTGTTGAGTATTTCGTGTGTGTCAGTGTAGTCTCTTCTTGGCTTCTTTGCAAGTTTGCTCTCTTAATGTTTTCTGTAACTATTTTTTGAGCTCCTGGGAGGGTTAGTTTATTTACATATCATTTGAATGATATTATGGTACTGTTGTAACTTTTAATATGAAAAATTAATGTTGACCTTTTTTGTGTAGCCACATTTCTCCATGGGATGCTTTAAGACTACACAGTTATTAAAACCATTGGTGACATAATACTAACATTAGGAACTTGAAGGATTTCCTAAATGAACAAAATATCCTCTTTTGTTTTTTATCCTACATGTACATTTTTAAGTAAAATAGATTTTGCTACGTTTGGGGGAGATACATTATATTTATAGTAGAGAATGATAATACCAATTTTTTCTTTAATTTAATTTAGCCAAACCATTTTTTAAGGCATTAACAGAAAAATTAAGACCATGCCACTCTCATACATTGCTAGTGAGAATGAAGAATGGTACCACTCCTGTGATGGGAAATTTGGTAGTGTTTAGCAAATTAAATATGCATTTATCCTTTCATGCAGCAGTCCCATTTCTAAGAATATATCCCAAAGCTATATGGGAAAACATATAAAAAGATGTATGAACAAGGCTGTGTATTGCAACACTATTTATAATAAATAGAAACAGACTAAAAATAACTTAAATGTCCATCAGTAAGGACCTAGTTGAATAAACTGTGATACATGTATGCATTAAAGTACTAGACAGTTGTAAAAGAGAATAAGAGTTGTTTCTGTGTACACCTGTTGAGTGATCTTCACTATATTAAGTGTAAAAAAAAAAGGAGAGATGGAGAAATATATGTTCTATGCTACTGTTTATTTTATTTTACTAAAAACCAAATAATAGAAGGATAAAATATAAAATTTAAAAAAGATGGTTACGGGCTGGCCCGGTGGCGCACTGCTACAGTGCGCCGCTTGGGAGCGCGGAGGCGCTCTTGCCGAGGGTTCGGATCCCACATACAGACCGGCCGCTCACTGGCTGAGCAAGGGGCAGGAGCAACGCCGAGGGTTGCGATCCCGTGGCCGGTCCCGGTCCGGTACCGGTGTGACACTGAGGGTTGCGATCCGTTGCCGGACATGAAAAAAGACAAAAAGGAAAAAAAAAAAAAAAGATGGTTACTTCTAATAAGTAAGAGAAGGGAGGAAATAGAGTAGAAGAGATAGAATAAAGGTTAGACTTATTTGAAACTTCTTTTATGGACTTTGGAATCATTTCATATAATTACAAACAAGACTCAATTGTAGAAACAATCCCTAAACAAATAATGAAATATAATGAATGAACCTGGATCCTAATTAGACACATAACCACATACGAAGGAACCATGTGAGTTGAAGACACCATAATTCGATTGTTCCTGGTGGAATGTACTGTAAGGATAAAAAGAAATATAAATCTTGAACTGTTTTCAATAGTTATGTTTTTCTTGGTTGTACTGACATTGTAATTTTGGGACTGTTGTGTGGGTATTATGGAATTATATCCAACAGATAATTATACTGAGAAATAAGGTTTTTGGCATGGTCGAAAGGACATACAGATATAAATTGATGTGGCTAAGTAAAAGTGCTAGTTTTGAATTTGAATCAGAAACATCAGTATGAACGCATGACAACTGAGAAGATTGAAAACAGTGACCATCCAAGTAGCGATGAGAACCTCTAGCACAAAAATTGTGGTATCTAAATACCATTTTCATTGAAAGGAGCCTGGGCTTACTGGAGAAGTGGCTGACTCAGGATTTGGGGGAAGGAAAATTGTAAGATGATCCTGGATGCTGCATCTTGTCATACCAGAAAGCAGGAAAGATACCAAACTCTGCTAGAGTTGTATCAAAAAGACCCAGGTGTCAACCTGAATGGACTCTCTCTGGCTAATGACACCAGTGATTGAAACATATGAAATGGTCAATGTAATACCAGAGGAAAAACTATCCAGCCTCAACCCACCCCTTCCCCTAGCATGTTCTTAACTCTGTCACAGGAAGGAATTCAAGAGCAGAGTCACAGTAGAAAGTGAAAACAGGTTTAATGTAGCAAAGTTAAGGAACACAGACTTCACAGAGAAAAGTGTGGCCTTGCTCTAACGACTGAGTAGGGCCCATAGTAAGTTTAGTACAAAAATAAGAAATACACACTTAGAGCTTAGTACAAACTGTAGGGTGGCTCAAGAGAGTAACTGCCCATTAGAAGTAAGTTTTATACAAAAGTAAGGTATGCGCACCTCACCAGCAAAGTTTGGGTTGGCCTCAGGAGAAGTGGGCAATAGCCCTGCCTCCTATTGGGATTCCACTTTTATAGTCTGGCTATTTAATACATATTCATGCTATCTAATGAATATTCAACTAAGGGGGTGGTTCCTAGTTGTGTTACACAGTCATGCACAAGCTCAGTTGGTCTCCTTTTAGGGCATGTTGGTTGGTCAAGCTCTATCACGTGCACCAAACATATTCAAGAATATTCTGTGCTCTTTAGCACCTCTAGTGGAAGGTCATTCAAAGGATAAACTCCCCTATAGTGAGCATGCTCAGCTGTTAGGGTTATATAACCCATTTCTACTGAGCATGCCCAGCCACTGGATTGCATTAGTCAGACCCCTGAGGTCTCAATTTCCATGTATTAGTGCCAAAAATGGGGCGGGTGGTGTGGGGCTTGAAACCCAGAGGTGTGTCCTGAAACTTCAACCCAGGGAAACTGAGCAGTCCCATCTCACATGGCTCATAATGACTCAAACATACACACCCCAAACAAACAAAACAGTATCATTAGTTACCTTTGGAGGTTGGAAACCAATGATTTTTTAAAATAAATGTGTCAAAGGTTATATGTAACTCATTATTTATTGAGGGAACCAGTAAGATGTTACAAGCAGGTCAAAGGAAAATTCAGACACGGGCAATCAGAAATGCTGAAATAAATTTAGATGTCAGAGTGTCAATATTCATGGGACACTAATCATTATATTCCACCAGACAAAATTCATTTATGTTGTATTGTCAAGCATCATTTGCACTACTCTCAGTTTTCTACAACTTGCAATTTTAAAATAGCATAAAGACAATAAAAGGCACAAATAACCTGAAGGGTGCACTGAGCAGGATAACCAGTAATTTTGTTTTTGCCCACTTCAGTCTTTAACAAGTTTTATTTACATGGGTGCTGCAGGAGTGTTAGCTAACCAAGTAGGCTTCCTTGAGTTTATTTTGTAAATCTAGTGCCATATCAACTAAGCATTTTAAAATCTGGAAAGTGAACAGAAAGAATCAAATATGTAACCCCTTTTTTTCTACATGAACTACACCTCATGGTAACAACAGAGTTGATGAGGGAAAGTCTCTGTCTGTATAAGTATTTCCAGTAATAAAGAAAATGATAGAGTTAGACTAGCACTATTTTGGAAATCCTAATCAATTAATGGATCTAAGCAATCATCAATAATGGCTTCTAGCATCACAGGAATAATCACCTAGAGAAACATGAAGTAACAGAAGGCTACAATCAGAAAGTTTAGGCTGTAGGAAACTCCACAGGACAAATGAACTGATTTCTTGAATATATTTCAAGGAAAAAAAAAAAAAACAGAGGAGGGGAAACCCGTCGATTAAAAGCTGTCTAAGATTCATAACAGCCAGTTGCACTCTATGGCCCCCCTTTGTAACTGTGTGACCTGATTTAAAGTGTAAAAAAAAATTGAGATAAATGGGGAAATGTGAATTCTGAATATCTGATGATAGTAATGAATCTTTAATTATTATAGATGCGTAAGCAGTATTTTGGTTATGTTTTCAACAAACACCCTATTAACTTTAGAAATATACCCCTAAAAATTTAAGAATGGAATTATATGATGTCTTATATTTGCTGCAAAATAATCTGGAGGGGAGGGGCTTTAAATGAAGCACAGTTGCCATGAGTGGATTCATTATTGAGGCTGGGTGATGAGCACATGGGGCTCCATTATACTGTTTTCTCTGGTTTTGCATGTGTATGAAATTTTCTTTTTTTTAATTTTTTGATTTTTAAAAATTTTTTCTTAATTTTATTTTGTTTTGTGTGTGTGTGAATTTATTTATTTATTTTTAGCTCCCACCAATAAGTGAGAAAATGTGGTATTTCTCTTTCTGTGCCTGACTTGTTTCACTTAATATAATTCTCTCTAGGTCCATCCATATTATTGCAAATGGCAGTATTTCATTTATTTTTATAGCTGAGTAGAATTCCATTGTGTAGATATACCACAATTTCCGTATCCACTCATCCGATGATGGACATTTGGGCTGGTTCCAACTCTTGGTTATTGTAAAGAGTGCTGCGATGAAATTTTCCATGATAAAAATTAAAATAAATAAACTTCAAGGCCTTTTAATAAATATACACCTTTCACTTGATTTTCTTTAATAATGTATAACTTGTTACTCTTAAGAGTATATAATGCATAATATTTTTATGTATATAAAAATATGATGTACTTATGTATTATATAATTAAGAGTATATAATGCATAATATTTTTTACCTATTATGATAAAATATTTAAAATATTAAAAAAGTAAAATATTTTATTGTAATAGGTTTCAAATAAAATCATGATAGCTTGCTATGGCTTTCCACAGATTTTACTATTTTCTATTTAACATAATATGAACTTGAATTTGTGAGAAATAACTTAATAATCCTTTCCTTTAAAATGTATTAGTGTTGGGCCGGCCCAGTGGTGCACTCAGTAGAGTGCCGCACTTGGGAGCACAGCAGTGCTCCTGCTGAGGGTTCGGATCCCATGTGGAGACTGGTCTGCTCACTGGTTGAGCGCGGTGCGGGCGCGGCGCTGAGGGTTGCGATCCCGTTGCCGGTCACGGTGTGGACGCAACACCGAGGGTTGCGATCCCGTTACCGGTCACGAAAAAAGACAAAAAAAGGAAAAAAAAAAAAAAGTATTAGTGTTATTCACATAATTATTTGATCAACTGAAAGCTTTCTTAAAGCCAACTCTTTTTTTCCTTCAAGCCTCTCCATGTGATTAATTGATTTTTTTGTTTGGTTTGTTTCCAGATAACCTTTTTTATGCTGCTTTCTGCAGTGTGTGTGATGCTGAATTTGGCTGGTTCAATCCTTTCCTGTCAGAATGCTCAGCTAGTCAGCTCCCTAGAAGGCTGCCAGTTGGTGAGTAATGAAATGCAGACCTTTTCATAAAGGTCATAGACTTTGATTGCTCATGAGAGCAATTTAAAAAATAATTTTATTATATTCTTGGGTTCTCAAGTAAACTTTCAATTAATTCTGATGTTTTCTAATTGTTTAAGGAATTTAGATTAGGTTGATTCTTTTCTATAAATTCAATATTTATTCTACTTGTAAATCAATTACTAATTGTATATTTCTAAGGATCACAGTGTAGGGCTAATGTAAAACAAATGTGTTTAATAAGTATTATATTTCAGCATTTGTTGCATTGATTCTTATTTGCATTGAATTTTTAAAAATTAATTTTGCAAGTCTGTTTTAAGTCCTGATTTATGTATAAGCTTGATAGTGAGTGTATCAAAACAGTATAGGTCTCATTTTTCAGTTTAAAAGATAACTTCCTTTTAGATCCTTTTAGATTGTAGACAGTATGCCGCACATTGTAGAGGATCAGTAAACACTTTGTTGGATTGAACATCATTCCAAAATAGTTTAGCTCATGCTACTGCAATACATGTATCTGGCTGGGACAGAAATTGTAGTGTGTATGGTTGCACTCAGGTATGGATATGCTTTGACTCCTTCTAGGACCTTGCTCCTGTGTGTGTGTGTCGGGGGGGGCATTGGCATTTATTTCTTTATCTTGGAGACAACACCAGGCTACCTTTCAGAGCCATGTTCCTTCGCAGCTGCCCGTATCGTATGCTTGCTGTGCTTGTGGCTGTCATTCTGAGAAATCAGTACTGAATTGCCAGAAGCTTTTCTGCAGCAGGGCCAGGCCTACTTTTCTTGTGGCCCTGTTGATTGGGGCAGCTGTTGGAAAGCCCGCTGCTCTCTATTCTTAGCTACAAAGGCCAGCAGGACTAGTGTAAGTTGGCACAGTTCCAATGCTGAAGCACCTACTGAGTTACAAAAACTAATTGTTAGAGCTTAACCTCATTATTCTCTGTTGAACATGGCCAGAGAACAGTGGCCAGATTTCATCCTTGTGACATGCACAGAAGTATCCTGGGTGTGCTGTAGTCTTCCCCATGATAACTGAGAATTGACACAACTTGGATCATCTCCACGAGAGAGAGTGACTTACAATCTTGTGTCCATAACTTGGTCAGCCTCTTTATTCCTAAATACTAGGTGCCATGAATATGGTAAAATCTGGTGACCTTACAAATGATTGGCCATTTTTTCTCAGATCCCCATTTTCCACGTGGAAAGCCCTGTGCGTGGAAGACAGAGTGACTGGGACAAGGTAAAGCAGCAGTGCCTGGAGGGCCAGATCAAAGATTTAAGTATTAAATGAGATAAAACCTGGAGGGCCAGATCAAAAAGATTTAAGTATTAAATGAGATAAAACCTATAAGACATAAAAAGTATACTCCTTTGCTGTTATAACAATTATACAATTACTATAGAAATTAAAAAAATAAAACACACTCATAATTCTGCAACCCAGTTTATTATGTCTTTCCAGTCTTTTCTGTGTATAATGTGTATGTATGTGTATATATGGTGTGCATGTGTGTATACATATATATATTTAAATTACTCTTCATGCTGCTTTGTGGGATTTGTTTTTAAATTGATCACAAACATTGTTCCAGATTTTAAAGTATTTTCCTACTATGTTATTTGTAGTGGCTGCTTTGTATGTATGAATACAGCATTACTTAACCAAATCTCTGCTTTTTGCAATTATTATCCTTATACTAATTCTTTTTATAGCTCCTAAAGTAGACTTGCATGATCAAAATGAATCCATATCTTTAGAGCATTTGATACATATTGACATACTGCCTTCTAGAAAAGTTTATCAGTTTAGTCTCCCAATCTATGAGAATGGTTTTCTTCCTACACCCTTGCCAGCACTGAAAATTGTTACTTTTTTTAATCCATGCTAATTTGAAAGGTATAAGATGACATCATTGTTTTAATTTGAATTTCTTTGAATATTAGTCATATTGAACTTTTCCTGTATTTATAATTACATTTACATAAGTTTATATATTATGTATATATATATGCATATTACATATACGTAATATGTACACATGCAATTATATATAATATATATGTTTATGCATTACTTATATTTCTTTTTCTTCTGCTGCTGCTTCTGTGAATTGACTTGTACATAGTCTGTACCAAGTTTTAGATTTAAATATTTATCTTATTGAGTCATACAACTCTTTATATATTATGGTTTTCAATCTTTTGCTTATATTGGGCAAATATATTTCCTGGATTCTTATTTACCTTTTAATTTTATTTTTTGACATAGAAAAATTTTTAATTTTTGTATGTTCAGATTTAGCAATGTTTCCTTAGAACCATATTTAAAAAGACTTTCTCCTTCCCAAGATCATGTTACCACAGTAATTTCCTGGTAATGGTGTGCTTTAATTTTTTATAGTTAACTCTTTAGTATTCTGGAATTTATTTGATGAATTTAACTTTTTCTCCCTAGGTGGTGAGATAGTTTTCCTAAAATCATTTCAGAGTAACTTAGTATTTCCCTGATTTGAAATGTCACCTGACTCATTAAAAGTCCTTTGTGAGGGGCCTGCCCGGTGGCGCACTGCTACAGTGAGCCGCTTGGGAGCGCGGGGGTGCTCCTGCCGAGGGTTTGGATCCCACCTAC